AAGAAGAAGAAGAAGAAGAAGAAGAAGAAGAAGAAGAAGAAGAAGAAGAAGAAAAAGAACAACAACAACAACAACAACAACAACAACAACAACAACAATTACATGATCACTCAAAGAACTTTTTTAAACACCAGCAATCTCACCGAAATCGCATGTAAGCTACAGTATCTGTGATCCTCCAAAACTTTTAGGTTGGGAGAAAAAAAAATATCGACTTGTTGCTCCTCGTCAGGTCGAGAGATGAAGAAAAAAAATCACAGTAACACTTTTTTTTTTTTTTTTACATTAATAGGTTTATATCACGAAACACCATCACTTTAGGAGGGTGAAGAAGAGATCGCCAAACACAGCACCAGTAGATCCTACAAAACGTGAGCAGCCAGAACACGACCCAGTTTCCTCCAGGCTGAGCAGTCTTTTGAGGAGAGATACTTCGCCCGTGAGCTCCCGAGGAGTTCTGAGTTCTAAGTGAATGTCTAGAGCCTGATGTATACACACACGCGCATACACACAGTCAGGCGGTGCTTGGCTGGTAGGCGAGAAAGAAGCTGCACGTACAAGATTCGGACTCTGTGGTTCAGGTGGAGAAATCGGTTCTGTTATCCGGATCATTTCTTAGACTTGGAGAGGCGGATCATCTAATTTTTTGGTTCGTTTGGTGTGTTTCGTCTTTTCTTCATTGAATAATTGTGAGGCAGGGTGGTGAAATCAAACACTCGTCAAACTAATCGAAGTGAAGAAACTGGCATTTTTTCGCAGTTTTGTGTATTTTTATCGAATTTTCCTTTTTTTGGCTCAGCACCTTTCATTCCTATCAAAGAACACATTTCTGAGTGGATTTTACTGGAAAAACGTTGATTACAGGCTAAAAAAAAAGTTTCAGTTTCCACGGACTCTCCAGCTGAGGCAATACCTGATCTTTAGCGGCCATTTTCTCACTAATTTTACTTCTGAAACTAGATGACCCCCGCCTTCTTCATTCCCAATTGACTCGTCTTGTATTCAAGATAAAAGGATATTTTTTTTTCTCCCAAAGCAAGACAAATGAACAAACTTTTAAGATGGTACCAATAACTCTGTACATGCCCAAAATTGACGAGAGCCTGATTCCATTGCATGTCACACAATTGGATTATTTTCAAGGAAGTGAAAAATCCTGGTCCATGGTCATTTATGTCTGTTCAGTTAGTCATCATTCAAAACTATTTATCGGTTGTGTGTGTGTGTATGTGTGTGTGTGTGTGTGTGTGTGTGTGTGTGTGTGTGTGTGT